AGCAGGTGCAGATTCTTGGAAAGCCCGGGTATGTTTGACAAAATCCTTCCCCATGACCCTTAGGATATTTCTCTTTACACACGGTATCACAACAATCATTATCACACTCTTTGTTACATGGTCCAAATCCGTCCAAGCATCTTTTCACCATTTTAGGAGTTGGATTTGGAAGTAGGTTGCGACCATTTTTAGCCGCCTCGACTAGTGGTAGGCTGGTAGCATCCTATTTCTCACTGCATTACATGTGTAATGGCACCATATCACCAAAAATAGAAAAATAAATGGAAAAATAAAAATGTCAATTGATAATAGGATCACTCTTAATATAGAACAGGATTAAGGAGAAGAGACATGTGAGATATTCGATTAAGTATTTTTAAACTATAATAGGTGCACAAGTGATAAAGTAAAGAACTTTTGCTTGATGTCAAAATGAGGGCGTAGAGTGTTAAGGGAATATAATCCCACATCGGTAAAATACCGAAATAATGACCAATATATAAAGGATTGGGACACTCCTCTTAACAAGGTTGACCTTATTGAGATGGACCCCAAGTCTTAACATGGTATCAGAGCCCATTAAACTCCAACGAGCGATTCGATCCGATTAAGTCTCTAAAAATGAGCAAACGGATTTCAAGATTGGTCTGCTCAAACGAGCCACCATCTTGCGGGGGCATGTTAAGGGAATATAATCCCACATCGGTAAAATACCGAAATAATGACCAATATATAAAGGATTGGGACACTCCTCTTAACAAGGTTGACCTTATTGAGATGGACCCCAAGTCTTAACATAGAGAATGCAAAGTGTTCGGGTGAGATAGCCATTTCCTTATTTATCTCTTTAAACTAAATAACTCATGTAACAACTTCCATATATATAGCAATAAAGTCGGGTCAGAAATTTATTGTTGCTTATAATCTTCTTATAATTGTGAAAATTAGATTTAGATATTCAATATTGGCAAATGAGATTGCCAGCCCAAATATTCGAGATTTATGAGACAGGTCGAAATTGTAAGCAGAACTATTCTAGAAGCATAATGCTATGTAGCCTCACTAGGTTTAAAACTTCAGTTTAAGTGACACTAGATCATAGATTGAATGAAGGTAAAATTAAATTACTTATTTAATTTCACCTATTTAAATACATCTGTCATTTAATGTCACATTAATGCAATTTAAACTGAGGTTGTAACTCCAGTTGGGTTGAATTGCATTAATCTTTCCAAAATTACTTGAGATTTGGCTAATTTTGATTTTATCTTTTGAGATTTTGTTAATCTAATATGATAGATTACGTATGGGTCATGAGTTGATTTATTAAATTCTTTTCCAGAATTGATTTTCAACCTGAGCCTCGTATGCCTTGAACATATCAAGTGTTCAAGATTTCTCATAGATGAGATATTGGTAGCCATAGTGAGAAAGTTTGTCTATGAACATAATAAATTACTGTTAATCATTTCAAGAAGCCAAATGAAATTGCCCACGGATACGGTTGGAGGAAGTGACCGGCTAGAGAGGTATGTAGCCTGGGCTTGGGACGGAGAATATGGAACTCGAGATACGGTTGTGGGAGGTGGAGGAATGGAGAATGAAGGCTAACAGCCTCCGGGAAGCCATTGCCTAGTGCCTATTTCTAGAGAGGGGGGGGGGGCTAGGGAAGATGATACACGGTTTTAATTTTTTTTTCCTTTTTTTTTAAATTTAATTTTTAACTTATTTTAATGTAGTAAATGGAAAGTTAATATTTTATCCTTTCAAAAAAATTAAAAATATGGTGAAAGTCAAATTTCTCAGTCAACTAACAGACATTTGGATGAAAACCGTCTAAAGGAACCTCTGCTGCAATGTTTCGAAAGGTTTAGGATGACGGTTGTAAAAAATTAAAGGTTTATGGAAAGTCTGTTAATATTTTAAAGGTTTGGAGCCTTTGTTGCAATTTTTTTTTTTTTTTTTTTTTTAACAAAGTGTTTTGGAATTTTTTTTAAGAAATTCATTAGCAGTTACCTTATTAGACATGACATCCCTGAATGTTGCTAGAATTTTTCGCTCCATGATCATAAGTCTTTTGCAGTTTGAACAATCTCACTTATTCTAGTTTCATTTAATTAGCAGAACTCTAACCCATAAGAGTAGTTGATTGTTCAGTCCTTAATGCAAGATTTTGATCCATGTCGCCAAGAACGATACAGACGTTCTCTATCCAGCCCTTATACATCGGTTTAAATGCAAGAATTGAATTGATGTTGGTAGATATTGTATAAGTGGATGGATTAACCAAATAGAGAATCTAAACCTAAATAACATGTTCACATGAAAATCTGTATTGGACAATCAATAATTTCAAATGATGTGGGCTCATCACAAGAGACCGAGCACAACATTGATATTTAGTCTTTGAACTAAAATATCAACTTATAAGTAGTACTCTTGGTATAGTAATCAAATATTGACAATAAATATGATCAAACATCAAATCTATCTTTGGACCGACTCAATGCTCACATAATGGGAAACTTTACAATTGTCACATATTTATTACCACAGGTGTGCAAAAATTCAACCAGAACTCAATATATGAATTTCAACCACAAAATTCTTCCTTTAACCCCAATAGTTTAATATAGAGTCGACTCTGAAACCATTTGCTGAAACTTTAAACTTTAAAAAACTATAAACTTTAAAAATGGAAAACCTAAATTCCTTTTATTGCCAAGATCTTCTATGTCAAATCTCCTAGAAAATTAATAATACGAAGCATACCTTAATTCTTTGGGAATGATTTTTTATTACTAAATCTTAAATCTTGAAACTTGAACTGTAATTTTTTCATCTTTGAGTTCTTCACTTTTAATTTTGAATTTTGCCCGATTTGATTCTTTAATTCTTATACTTGGTTTTGCTTCTTGATCCATAGTCTTGATTCTTAAATTCCTTCTTCTTGATTCTTGATTGTTAATCTTGATTATGGGTTTTGGATCTTCCTCATCAATATGGTTTCTCTTGTATTCTTATATTGATGGGATAACACGAAGATTGGAACCTAAATCAAATAATTTCGAAGCAATTTTGTTCGTTTCAAAACCGAAATGTTGACGAATCCACGTGGCTCCAAACCAATTATTTTGAAAAAGCGATTTCAATTTGATTTTACAATTTGATGATTTTCATTTTGTAGCCCTATCTCGAGCATGACTATCAATAGGGATTTTACGATGTAGGGCTCTGGGGTTCATTACAACTAGTCCTACTACCATTTTGACACAACCATCTTTGAAAGATTTCTGGGTGAAACATACAAGCCTCATGCTTGTGGACTTGGTACCCACACGTGGCATAGCCATACTTGCCATGTATAATTCCGATTCCATGCTTATGATTCCATTCTTCTTGTAAACCAAGTCATTAGACCTGTCTGCGGTTTTTCTGGGTGAAGAATTCGGATCACGACCCGGTACACGTGGCTAAGCCAAAGGAAAGTGACCCATCATATCATTCGAAGAAACGGAATATACGAGCTATTGGTATACTCTGCTATATCCCAAGTTAGCTTTGAGCTTTGTGAGCCTAGGGATCAATAGTTGGATTCCTTACTAGGCTTTTATCCCTTTTCTAGGAACTAGTCAATTAAGGTAGGGTTCTTAATCCCCGCACCTAACTATAGGGGAAGTCACACTTTCACTTCCTATCGGCCATGAGTTATTTTTTTGTCCGACCCAAAGGGGTTACGGATATACATAGAGGTTTTTCACAAACTTAGTTGTTGTGAAAGCAACAAACAAAAGGTAGAGAGAAGGAACACAACCTCTTTTTGGTAGCTTATTTAATTACTTATAATAATTGTGCCCTGATAGGAAAAGACTATAAGGGGCTAAATTAAATCCAGACTTTTAATAATTTTTTAGGATTTAAAAAGTTTAAGGGTATTCAACGTAGATTTTTTGAGACTCTCTAAAAATTTTGGTATATTTAATTGAGATTTTTATAGATTTTTAAAAAATCTCTCTAAAAGTCATGTTGTATTCATTTAATTTTTCTTTTTTAAATGTCTATAATTCTTGGGATATTCAAATTTTAATTACTTCTTAAAAGTCTCTAGAGTGTAAACTCATAAGCAGAAAGTACTCACATAAAGTCTAAAAAAATTTCTTTCATTAATCACAAGATTTTGGAATAAATTCACAAAAAAAAAAAAAAAAGGTTATCCATTTTTTTTCAATATTTCTTTTTTCTTCATCCTTCTATGAGCATTAGAGGTATGACAAAAAATTATTTTTTCTATTAATTATATTTTTTTCCATTTATCAATCTCTCTTTGTTTATCTTTATTTACTATGAAAAAATTAAATTGAATTCTTATAACTTTTTTAATTTTTTTTTTGTGAAAAATATCTATTTATTATTAAATTATAAAATGTTACATGACAAATTTATAATTAAATTTGAATATATTGATTTTTTTTTGAAGGTATATTATATTAATAATATTGAATATTAAATTTATTTTTTATCCTATATATGTATAATTTTGATTATTATTTATTTAATTAAGTTCGAAATTTTTATTCTTTTTGAAATAGTGTTTCTATATGAGGAAGAAGGATGGAAAATGGAAGAGAAATTGTGGAAACTGCCACCTCTTCGTATTTGAGAAAATGAAAGTTTCATAAAGTCATTTATACAAAAATCTATAAAAAATTTTAAATGAAAGTATATAAAAGTTTACGTAAGACTTTCACTAATTCTATATAAATTTAGCCCTGTTTGTTTTTCATTAAAATGAAAAATATGACTGTTATCCATTACATCAAATCACCAAATTTGAATTTTATTTTTTATGTAGAATTCATAACAACTATATTTTTCATTCTCAATTTTACAAAAATAGGAAACAAACGTCCTTTTATATTCAAGAAATTCAAATAAGCCATCGCTGCTAAAAATATATATATATATAATAATAATAATAAATAAATAAAAATTACCTTGTCTATCATTCCTAATTGAGTACACCCCTATATTTAGATCCATTTCTGTTTTAACATCTCCATGCTTCGTTCTTTAACTTGTTCTCTGATCAATGCAAAATTGATCAAACCAAAGCAATTTTCTTCAATTCTAAAGCGCATCCATTTCAGTTCCCTCGATATTCGATCCATTTCCTTGCCTTTTCAAATTACTGAAACAAGATATTTAAATTATTCGGCTTTTGTGGGTATTAATTCAAGCAGGTCTGGGTTTTCGAGTCTGAGGTTGGTTCGCAAAATGGCCAGCCAATCTGCCAAGCCACAATCGGTTCATGAATTCACCGTCAAGGTTCTACTCATTTCCTCTCTACTTATTAAGATGAACAGTGTCTAGACCGTCAATTGGTTTGAGAGAGATTTTATTATTATTATTATTATTATTATTATTATTATTATTATTATTATTATTATTATTATTATTATTATTCATGTCATAGTTGTGGCCTTCTATATTTGTTTCTGAGTTTCATCTGTATATGATGATTTGATTGGAGGCGATTCTTTTTTATGTGGTGAAATTAGTAGGAGAAGTATGATAGTTTACAGTATTAAAAAAGTGAACTTAATGAGACAAAGGACCAAGAATTCAGCATGAGTGGTAACTTAAACAATGAGACACGGTTCAGCATTGATTTGAACAAGTTCATGTTATAGTGGATTTCGTTTGATATCATTCTACTTGGACTTCGGCAGGGCCAAACAAGGTTCCAGACGCCCCCAGCCTAGATTTACACCTCTACATGCTAGTAAATTGAAATTATAATGATATAAATTTACCCATCTAAAACAGAATTTGGTTTATAGCATATAACAAAAATGCTGGTCCTTGAAAACTTTAGCTGAACCTTCATTGGGGGCTTATGTGCATAAATCGTTCCACAGTGTAATTTTGTCATAATTGAATACGACATTCTAGTAATGTAGTGATCGTATGGCTTTTATGAAACTGTGTTATTGCAGGATGCTAAGGGAAATGATGTTAACTTGGGCATGTACAAGGGAAAGGTCTTGCTGATAGTGAATGTTGCATCACAGTGGTATTCACTGGCTTCTCTGAATACTCACGTTTTGCTTCGTAGAATTTTTTACATGAAAGTCATATTAATTCTAATTTTTTGGTGTGAGGTTGGTATTCTGGGTAACGTAGATTTTGAAGTACTTAAACACCTATGTTGTTTACCATTGGACATGATTACATTTCTTGCTTGATAAAAAAGAACGTGAATGCAGCGTTTTAATAAATTATTATGTTGCGCATTTCTCAATTTAATTTGCAATTTTACCTTGGTAATTGATTGCTGAGATGATCCTTGTAGCTTGATCGAAGTTTATCTGACGGTACCCTTGCGAGACAATTTCCACATTCTGATATTCTTTCAATTCTTACACTTTAGGGTACTTAAGAATGATTTATTAAGTCGTTTTTTGTAGGAATTTGAAAGGAACCAAAAATCCACCAAATCTTTTCACATATTTTCATAAATGATCCATGTTAAAGTGGAAGCGTACCTTGGTCCATAGATGTATGTGCTTTGATTGGTTTTGATCTTCCAATTATTACGTGATTTCCTTGAATTTTCTTCTCTGTTGATGGGGATGTAGAGAGTTTTTGAATTCATATGCAATTGGGGACCATTACCCTATACTAAATAACTGTAATTGACAGTTATTAACTATGCGTTATTTCAAATTGGCCACTCATCAATTTAAAATAACATATCCTGGTCTCCATACTTTATTTTCATGACATTTAATATTCATTAGTCCAAAATTAAATATAATGAATAAAATTAGCGTCACACATTTAGGGGGTATTTGATAGTCATTTTTATGTAAAAATACATTTTAGAATAGTAAATTGATGTAAAATGTGTGGTTGAAAAATAAGAAAAAGTTTTTAATTTACATATAATATTATTTTAATAAAGAATGTGTGGTTGAAAAGAAGAGAGAGAAAAATACATTTTGAAAAAAAGGCTACAAACGGGGCCTTAAATATATATACATTTGTGGCCCTATACGATGGAATTTTTCCAACAATTTCCCACTAGGGCATACATGTAATATAATAAATGTGCACAAACTTATGAGCTCAAAATTATGCCATCGTTTTTGAGGGTATTTTCAAACAATCTCGTTCATCAGTTATAATGTAGGATCAAAGCAATTTTCGTCACTTTTAGTGTGACTAAATCCATCAATGGTCACGTACACCCATAAAACCAAATGACAAAGATCAATCATGAGAGTGCAGCATGAAAATTACATGTTATGTGATCCGAACATGCCTATTTCCAACTGGTCTGACCCTTCAAAAAATGTTTCGGTTTCCCTTTCAAAAACTAACTTAAGTGTGGGATCATAAAATTTATAGCCCCTAGATTGCTCAGAATAATCAATAAAATAGCTGTTAACTGTTTTAGATTCCAATTTCTTTTCATGTGGCCTATAAGGCCTAGCTTCAGCTAGATATCTCCAAATGTGAAAATGTTTTAGATTAGGCTTTTTGTCTATCCAAAACTCATAAGATGTTTTAGCAACAGCCTTGGTACTCTATTCAGAATATAAGCTGCGGTCTTTAATGCCTCTCCCTAGAGTGATCTTGGTAAGGTAAAATGACTAATCATACTCCTTATTATGTCCTTAAAAGTCTTGTTTCGTATTTCAGCTACACCATTCATGCTAGGCAATCCTGGCATGGTGTATTATGGGACGATTTCACATTCCTCTTGGTATTTAGCAAATGGTCCTGGACATTGTTCACCTAAACCGTCATATTTACCGTAGTACTCACCACCACAGTCAGACCTAACGCTCTTTATCATTTTGTTGAGTTGATTCTCAACCTCAGCTTTAAAAGTTTTGAACACCTCCAGTGACTCAGATTTTTTATGGATGAGATGTAAGTACCCATAACGTGAGTAATCATCTATAAATGATATAAAATATTGTTGACCATTCCAAGAAGCCATAGAGAATGGCCCACAAATATCTGTTTGTATCAGTTCTAAAACGTCCGAAGTTCTATTAGCACCTAATCTCCTTGTTTTGGTTTATTTTCCCTTGATACAGCCAATACATACATCAAAATTCGTGAAGTCAAGGGAATCTAAAATACCATCTGACACAAATCGTTTAACTTTAGTTTTCAAGATGTAACCTAAGCGCTTGTGCCATAATTTTGTTGAATTTTCTTTATTTAATTTGCGTTTAGCACCACATGCAAGGTTTCATTATATGATGCAATAATGTTAAGCAAATATAGGTTATCATATTTAGATAATGAACCAGTACCAATAACATTGGAATTTAATGAAAAATTAAACTGATTGTTTCCAAATGAACAACAATATCCAAATTTGTCCAACGAAGAAACAGAAATCAAATTTCATCTAAAAGACGGTTCAAGTGTCTTTCAAGTCCAAATAATATCCAGTTCGTAATAATAACCTAAAAGTCCCTATTACATCAATTTCCCCCGATTTGCCATCACCCACATGGATGTATCTTTCACCATCACTTGGCTTTTGGTAGGTCAGCCAGCCCTGCATAAAAGCATTTATGTGAGTAGTAGCATTAGAATCTATCCATCAAGTGTTTCTAGGTACTGAAGCTAAATTACCCCAGAACAGACCAAAGTAAGAATTGCATCTTTCTTTGCATGTCATAAACGATATTTGATACAATCCTTCTTCACATGTCCAAACTTATTGCAAAAGAAATAAGTCCCTTTCTCTTCCTTTCATTTATTTTGTACTAGACCCTTAGAAGCAGCATCATATTCCTTCTTCTTTTTCTTGCCCTTATTTTTAGAAGCGCTTGCCAAGTAAGCACTTTCAGTTCTTTATTGCTTCAACCTTTCTTCCTCTTGTACACGATATGAAATGAGCTCATTTAGAGACCATTTCTCCTTCTGGCAATTATAACTGACCTTAAATTGACTGAACTGTGCAGGAAGCGAGATCAATACCAAATGTACGAGCAAGTCATCATACAGCTCAAACTTTAGCCCTTTAAGTTTAAAGTAATGTGAGACATCTCCATGATGAACTCCCTTATGTTCCCCCTGCCTTTATACTTCATTGAAATCAAGTTTTGCAAAAGTGTACTTGTGTCAGCCTTATTGTTTTTCGCAAAACGCTTCTCAATTTCGGCGAGGAACTCCTTGGCATTAGTTATCCCTTCGGATACTGCACCTCTAAAGGATTCCAAAATGCCGCACTTAATGATCATTAGACTCACGTGATTTGAGTGATCCCATTTCTCAAAGTTCATCTTTTCATCAGGATAACTTTCTTCCGTAAAAGGAGTGAGTTTCTCAATCCGAAGTGTAAGGTCAAGATCCATGCAACCAAGAACAATCAATATGTTCTCCTTCCAATCCTTGAAATTTGTCCTATTAAGCATGGAAATAGAGTTAACATTGACAGAAATAGTAGTAACAGATGAATTAACTGTACAGGAAACAATAAATAAATAAATAATCATGCTCATATCCACATTTAATGAACAATAAATTCAAATAATTGTAACTCCCATCTCAAGATACTTAGTGCAACATTAATATCAAGTGGTACTCTCAGTGTAGTAATCAAACATTGACAATAACTCTTGTCAAATAAAAACCCATCTTTGGATTGATTTATTATTCACATGGAAATCTTATAATTGTCATACGTTTATCACCAGGAGTGTGTATGCAATTCGGCCAAGTTTTAACCTTCCTTTCGGCCTGGCTAATACCCGTATGAAGAAACATACACACATCTAAACATCTTAAACAAACCAATCTACACAAGAGAGATCACTTTGGTGATATATTACTTCAATCAGTTTATTTAAAATCTTAGATAACCTTAATTCATCGTGAATGATTTACCAAGTTATTTGAATTTGATTGTCCCACACAATTAAACCTTAATTGTACCTCTTAGAAGGGTCCTTAGTACCAAAATTTGAGAAAAAAATCACTAATTTTGCATCATTAGATGCCTTTAGATACTTTAGGGGCCTAAGGGTTAATAATCCAAAACTTTAGGTGTCAAAATTTAAAAAATGTAAAACTTTGGGGGCCAATTTTAATTAATTATAAGCATTGAGGGCTTTAATTGAAAACTCAGAATTTTAATGGCCCAAATTAAATAATTTTCAAACTTTAAGGGCTGAATTATTAAAACCATGACCTTAAAGGTCCAACTTGGATGGACTCTAAACTTTTTTTTTTTGGATAAGTAATCATATAATTTTATTAATAAATGGGATAATACATGGGGGTGTATTATCAAAATAAACAAGAAAGAAACAGTATGAAGTTAGGTAGCCCTTCTATACGATTAGTGACTGCAACATTAAACCAATTATATTAAATAAAATAATTCTTTAATCTGCTATGTTGTTCTTATTTTGTCTTCACAACAACGGCTATTCCGTTCTCTCCACACACACCATACGATGCATCCCGGAATAAGACTCCACACAAGCCTCCTATCTTTATCTCAAAATTTTCTCCTCTATGCCAGCAACACATCCTCTATGCGCCCAGGCATTGCCCAATCCAAGTTTTGGGAAGCTAGAATACCGTTCCACAACCACCGAATACCATCACAATGGATAAACAAATGGTCAGTTGTTTCTCCATCTCTTTTACACATATAACACCACTCGATAATGCAAAAGCCTTTTCTTCGAATATTGTCCGCCGTTAACACTTACCCCCTCACAACTGTCCATAATAAGAAAGCCACCCGTGGAGGCAACTTACATTTCCAAACCATCTTCCAGGGAAAGGAACTCTCTACTTGGCTGAATATAGATCTAAAATAAGTGCGAAAAGCTAAAATAAGTGCGAAAAGAAAATATACCATCCCGTGCCAACCTCCACCTCTATGATCACCCTGTCCTACCTGAATATGAGACTCGTGCAAGGAAGTAAAAAATAGTGCATAATCATCCAATTCTCAATCGTGTAATCTTCTCTCAAAAGCAATATTCTAGCTATAACTTCCATTATGTATGTTAATTACATAATTCACCATAGCGAACGGTTCCAAGGCAATGTAGTGCAAAGAAGGAAATCGTACCTTAAGCAGACGATCTCCACACCAGCAGTCATCCCAAAATTTGATATTGTTGCAATTCCCCACCACAAAAGTCAATTTATCTCGAAATTCATTCCATCCTTGTTGGATATACTTCCACAGACTCACCCAATAAGATCCACGATC